TTCCTGGCACAAAGATAAAATTCTAGGGAAACATGATACTCAGTGTCATCTAAAAAACTGGGGGTACAGATGGCAGTCTGTTTTTTATTTTATCTTGGCTTTTGATGCTATACAAGATCTGTGCACCCGAGAATTTTGTTCTCAAATGGAATAGTGTATTTGACTTCAAGGACCCTTTCTGCTGTCACCAGCATTTTGTCCAGTGACACAGTATGACATCTCTGGGGACATTCCTGAGGTTTACAAATTTGCAGGAAGAATCCTGGGGTCCAGTTTTGAATGTCCATCTCAGTTTAATATAACCCAAGGACTAAAAACACATTCTAGTAGTGTCTTATAGCTCCTTCTCCGGATTCTTTTCACCTACAAATTTACCTAGAGCTATTTGTAGAAGAATGTAATGATTAATGCCCACAACATAGTTTTACTAGGGGAAAAAAAAAATTGTAAACACTAGCTTAAAACCAACTCTGAAGGCTATTCCACATCTTAATTCTGGCAGTTTGTAGGTTAATGTAAATCATGAACATTTTGTGGCCCTGTTCCCAGGCTCAACTATCTTGAGGGCAGAGAAAGTAACATTTATTGAGGACCAACTGTATGTCAGGTGCTGGAAAACTTTGATCTTTTGGGTAATGAAGTATAGTTTTCATAGCTATTTCAAGTCAATAGTTCAATGACTTTTTACACATTTGTGCATGTGTGCAACCCTCACCACCATCTCGTTGGAACAGTTCTTCTATCACTCCAGAGTTCCCGCATACTGTCTACACTCCATGCCTGAACCTCCAGCCCCAACCAACCTCTGATCTGCTTTGTCTTTATTATTTTGCCTTTTCCGGAGATCTCACAGAAGGAATCATACACTAAATGTCTGCTGTGTGCGGCTTCTGTCCACTTAGAGTGAGGTTTCTGAGATGGATCCCTGCTGCTGCACCGATCAGTAGCTTATTTCCTTTCACTGATGAGTAGGATTCCACTCGGTTCCATTTTGGTTAGCCACTCACACTATGTGGGAGAAAGCTGCCGGAGGGGTGGTCAGTGTCTGTTAATTCTCAAAGAAATCACCAAAATATTCCAAAGTGGACATGCCATTTTGCATTCCAAACACACGGCATGAGACTTCCAGTTTCTCCCCATTTTGACGAACACTTTGGTACTATCTTTTTTTTTTAATAGAGTAGTTTATTTTTACATGATTTTGTGCCCTTTCCCATCTCAATTGTAATGCTATTGTTTTTTAAATTTGAGCCACTATATTGGGTAGTTGTGCTACGTTATTGTGGCTTTAATTTGCATGTCTTTCCTGAGCATTACTTAGCGTCTTTTCAGCTATCATTTGCAATCTGTACATCTTTGTAAAGTGTCTATTCTAATTTTTTTGTTGTTGTTTTCCATCTTCTTACTGAATTGTAAAAGTTCTTTATATATTTTAGTTAAAACTTTTCATTTAGATAATAACTGTTAATATTTGCATCCAATCGGTTGCTTGTCTTTTCACTTTCTAATAGTGTCTTCTAAGAGCAAAGAGTTAATTTTGATGACATCTAATTTAATGATTTCTTTTTTCCTTTTCAGGCCCATCTCTAAGAAAATGTTACCTTACCCAAGAAAAGCTTTATTACTTTTCTAGAAGTTTTATAGGTTTAGCTCATTCATTTGTATTTATGATGTACTTTTATTTAATTTTTTGTGTTGGGGATGAGGTAAGGGTCAGGATCATCATTATGCATACAGGAATCTAATTGCTCCAGCATCATTTGTTTAAGAAAAATCCTTTCCTAATTACGTTGGCTCCTGGGATGAAAATCAACTGACTACATCAATGAGGATTTATTTCTGGACTTGGTCTTCTGTGCCACAGAGGCACACATCTATCCTCAGGCCAACACCAAACTCTTGATTATTCAGCTTTATAGTAAGTTCTGAAATCAGGACACATAAGTCCTCCAACTTTGTTCTTTTACTACTGTTTAGGTTAATCTAGGTTCTTTGTGTTTTCATATAAAGTTAGTATAAGCTTGTCAATTTCTACCAAAGAAAAAAGCCTACTGAGATTATGTTGAATCTGTAGGTCAATTTGAGAAGAGTTACTAATACTAGAGCTATTATTATACACAATAGCTATATATATTACATTATATATGCACTATACACTATATATATATATAACACATTATTTCTCTCAACAGTATTTTACAGTTTTTAATTTCACAGTTTTTTTTACAATTTTACAATTTAAGGTCTCACAGTTCTTATATTAAAGTTCTTATCTTATAGATGGAACTGATCTGATTACATTTTCAGGTTGTACATAACTATAGACAGAAATGTAGCTGATTTCTGTATATTGATTCAGATTGCTAAACTAAGATTCTAGTAGTTTCTCTAGATTGCTTAGGATTTTCTAACTACAAAGGTCCCATTTTCTGCAACTATAGTTTCATTTCTTCCTTTCCAATTTTTATGCTTTTAATTTCTTATTCTTGTCTTACTGTCTCTAGCCTTTGTATCTAAATCAGCAAACTTCTCTTTAGCACGTTATACATTGACATGAATGCTGAGATCAGACTTTTGTAAAACCTTCACCCTGATGAATGACCCTTTTAAACTAATGCATAATTATCACTGCTTATCAAAAATTCAGTCTTAGCAGCACTGCTATCTTTGTTTATAAAATAGTGTTCAGATGATGATTTCAAAAATTCAAACAGCATTTTGAACTCATTATTTAGAAAAGAAGGAACAGAAAATGGGAGGGGGTACTGTTATCAGTAATAAGCACAATTCTCATAAACTTAACAATTGAGACAAAGAAGAAAACCATTTGTCATGGGAAAGTGGCAATTCTTTGGCCTCAATTAGGTGCTCACTGGACTTAATAAGCTGGTCAACCATGGGGAAGAGTAAACTGAAAGAGCACAGCCCAGGATAGTGACAATCTAACACCAAAGGTTCTATAAAAAAAAATAGGTTTCAGCAGTGGTTTTCTATTTTAGGATTTTAAGAACCGAACAGCTTTCTGGTAGGTGTAACTGTTACACTTGAGGACAGTTCTATTCACCAGTAGGATGAGGAATGAACACAGTGGATGTCAATGTGGGGAACACCAGGAGTCCACTTAAAAATTTCTGAAAAGGTGTTAACGATTTTCATTTACAAATCAGAAAGCAGACACAGAAATTTAAGTAACTCACTGAAGGTGTACCACAAATGGTGGAGACAAGATTTAAACCAAGGCCCGTTTGGCTCTGAAAGCTTGAAACTGGGCCCCTGTTTCCCTGAGTGACCCATTTCCCTGATCAATATCCTCGAAGCCCCAGCTTTCCGCTCTGCTCCGGAAGCCTCTGGTTCCACATCTGGTATGGCTTTTACTCTTCCTGGATCTCGCCAGCAACTCACAAGCTACTATGCAGTAACTGGGGAAGAATTATCTCGGTGGCTAGCTGGGTCCCCAAATATCAGCCTGAAGGCTTGAACACAATAATCAAAAGATCTGAGGTAGTTATGTAAATAAGATACACGTGCATAAATGTAGAAAACTTGGTCTGAAATGGATGAGTGATTTCTTTTGAGTTTGGGGGCAGAAATACCCAGGAAGTTTGAATAAGAGAGGTTATTATAGTTTTTATGTGAGGTAATTCAGGCTTCTCTTCTCTGTTTTCATTTCTGGGCAGCCACATTAGAAAAATGTATTCCAGAGCAGAAAAGTTACCATAAAACTTTCACGCTGTGGGGCACCTCCTCTCTCAATACCCCACAGAAAAATTCTAAACTTTGGGTGTAAGTAATTCAGTGCAAAAATCTTTATAACATGGGTTGATATGGTCAGAATAAAGAGTTGTATTTCTGCTGATGAGAATATGGAAACAAGGAAAAAGGGAACAATATCGAAAGTGCTTCTCATTGTGCTTTAAGTAAACACTAGATGTTTTGGATCTGTTGGTTAATTAGAAAATATTTCAATAGGCTCTTTTCATAAAACAAATACTAATCATACCCATCCCGCCCCCCATTGCTGCACTATGAACAATACACAAAGCCAGAAATGATTGTCTCAGTTTCTAATGTGCCAAATAAGCCATAGGGGAAGTGAGGAAGTCCTCCAGGAAGACTTCACCCTCATCAGTCATCCTTTGGATAAGACTTTCCCCCCACAAATTCCTTATTTTATGTCCTCTATGAATCTGTTCTTTATCAATCCCTCTTCCTAAGTCAAACATATACTTAAAGCCCTTAAAGTGCTAGACACTCACAGTGATGCCTTGGAAAACCTTTGTCATCAGAAGTATATTGGAACTACCTATGCTATCGAGAGACACCAGTCAGCTGACAGGATCTGGTTGTTGGCAACTGTGGGTCCTCGGCCTGTTGCTGATTATTGTAAATAAAGTTTTATTGGCACACGGCCATACACACTCATTATGTATTGTCTATAGCTGTTTTCTTGCCACAGTGGTGGGCCCCAGCAGTAACCACTGAGACCATCTGGCTCACGAAGTTGAAAATATTTATTATCTAGCCCGTTAGAGAAAATGTTTGCTAAGCTTTGTGATAATACATTTAAAATATGGAAATAAAGCCCTGTCAGGATGTTAAGTTACAGAAACAAGAAGAGTCGATATACTATTTGTGCAGTGCACCATTAAAATTATGGGACGGCACACTTCAACGGGGACAACTACTCTTGTGGAAACAAAGTGAATGAAAAGATGGAAAACTACAGAGGAAAATTTGAGGAGGCTAAAAATGTTAAGTAGTTGGATTTGGGATGGTAGAGTTATGGGTGATTTTTCTGTCCCTTCCCCCCACCAATCTGTTGCGATTTTCTAAAATGAGCTTATATTGCTTTTATAATAGAAAAAACCTGTACCTCACATTATTATGAACATTATTTTAGTTGATGCCAGTCTTGTACACAGTGGATGTGACTACCACCTGTCTCCCAGACTGGCCCTTCCCGCCCCTCCTTCCAGAAGCAGGTGGTTCCAGGCAAGTACCTTATGCTCGTCCCGAAGGTGACTGTCCAGTTCCTCGGTGTGCTTGGTCTCGTAGTAGCAAAGCTGGCATTTGTAAGGTTTCAGTTCATTGTGCTTTTCTATGTGTTGCTGGAGGCTCTCGTCACTGGAGCAGGTGAAGGTACACTTATCACAGCGGAAAACTACTCCCTGCAAGTATTTGGAGAGTTTGGAACGGCACACTTCTATGGGGACAACTCGCTCTTCTGTGGAAACAAAGTGAATGAAAAGATGGGAAATTTTACTGATGGCAAAGAGATGTTTTAACTTTGGAATAGTAGAAGGAACTCGCCCACTGGATTTTCCTGCTTCCCATGGATCACGGGTACTTCCACTCCCCTATTGACACATTTCTCCCACACTAGGAGATGCTTTGAAAACCAGAAGTTCTTGGTGTTAATGAATGCCTGAAGTAACTGGTGGGGGCAGGATGAAAGGTGTCCTTAATTTCTGAATGCAGGTGACTAAGGTTCTCAAAGAAAGGAAGTGGAGCCATTTGCACCAATTCTAATGATGACTGACAGAACTTTATACTGTTCAGAGGACTTACTAGACGACTTCGGAGCAGGAAATTGGCAGTCCTCAAGCACCTATGTGCTGGCATCAAGCACCTTCCCAGCAAGTATTAGACCGGAATTGTTATCACGTTTATAAATTAGCAAAGACAGGGACTTTCCCAAGATCATACATATTATAATGGGCTCAGCTAAGTTCTGCACCCCTTTCTCCCTATTGCAGATTCACTGTTTCCAATTCCATGCCTGTTTCATCTTCCAGGATGGTCTCAGGAGAATGTTTTCCTTCTCCTGAAACCAAGGGAATCTCCCATCTAGTATCAAATCCGAACACAAAGAAACCTATTCACTTTCATTCAATAAAACTCTGTCTCCAACTATGAAGCTTCCCAAGTGAAATGGCTACGGGCAACATTCAGGGGGACATGGGGGTGGTGTGGGAGAAATGGAGGATTTGTGCCTTTGCAGACAATCTGTAATCTGATTGTCACAAGAGCAAAAAAAAAAAAAAAAAAAAAGAGAGAGAGAGAGGATTTGGGTGCTTTTCCTGTTAACATACCAAATGCTGGAGGGCTGGAAATGCATGTGCTTGTTTATTTTGCACTCTCTCACCCTTGTGTTTAACTGCTCAAATTAAATTTCACACCAGTCTGCCCAGAGAATCGGCGCACGCGCCAGATATCCATAACTTGGAGAAAATTAAAATCTGTGCTATTTATGCAAGGATCAAATATAGCGTGTGTTTTCATGCTGTGTCTGGATTTCAGAAGACTCAAAGTTTACAAATGGACGCACACAACATATACTTATATTATTTTAAAACAGCAATGAATTATTAAGTCAAGAGAGCATGATTTATGCGCCCAGTCACCGAGTGGCAACGTTTCCAGAGCATTAGTATCTCGTGTGTGGATGTGACCCACTCAGCGAGAGTCCTCCCTTTGTTGTTGACCTGTTTTGGGGCTCTGGGAGTTCTCCCCATTCACTGTCATGCCTTCATCTCAACCACCACGCTTTCACTGCAGGGTAGTCACTGCCTGGGGAGTCCTTGAATGCAGCGATTAATTGGCCAGCAAAAAGCTGGGCAGAGGAAGCGTGGAAGGTGGTGTTTGCAACATACTTCCCGAAGCTCTAATACATATGTTATTTTCCCTATACAAAGAGTCAGTTACTTATTTAGAAATATAAATATTTTTAACCAAAGTATAGCAGACAGCTATGAAACACATGATCATAATGTAATCCACACATATTCTTAGAATAGCAAGTGTTTAGCAATCTCCTAGCCATTCAGTTCCATGGTTTGGTGTAAAAGGAAGGGAAAAATGCTTTGGAGTAAACTGGTGAGCTTTCAAGATGGCCAGTTGGTGTTCTGTTGCATTCTAGCCCCAGTTTGACAGCAGTAGCACCACTGACATTTGGAGGCTGGTAACTCTTTGTTGTTGAAGACTGTCCTGTGCATGCACCCTTGATTCTATCCACGCTCTGGGGAGCAGCCCTTCTTCCTCCCCAGATTGACAACAAAAACACCTCCAGGCAAATGCACCTCGAAGAGGCAAGGTCACTCAGAAACACTACTCTAGGCAAAGGGTCAAGCATTGCCTCCAGCAGCTCTGGGTACAATGTAGGGCCAGCAGCAAGCTGTTGCCCATGGCATTGGTACAGCCTGAATCCTGGAGACCCATCCCAACACACACCAAGGGCACACCTCGACATCAGGAGATGCTGGGAAGTGCTGACATGAACTTTTCTGGCACCTTCCTTGGGCTGCACTCCACCTTCACTCCTGATTTATGGTTGTCCTGTCTACTGCTTGCACTTTTGTGCTTTGTCTTCGACTTGTCCTGCCTGCCCTAGTTCTGTCACTTCCATGGAGATGGCGAATAAGGCCAGCCTCTGACCGGGCCTCAGACACCTCAAAGACAAACAGCAGTCACTGTAATAACAGTAATTGGTTGTTTCAAACTCGTTTTCCTCTACGAGTCTCCTTTTCAGTTCCTCTACCTTTTGGGTTTGTTTTCTTTGTGGTTTCCACTTTTCACTATGTGTGTCAAAGTGAATTTTATACAAAGTCATGAGCATTCAGAGTAGCCTGGAGTTCAAATAATAATAATCAATGTGAACAACCACGACAATTTATTAAGTGCTCACTGTATTTCAAGTCTGGTTAGGTGTTCTGCCCTCACTGCGAGGCTTTATTCTCCTACCTCTCTGCAAAGCCAGTTTTATTATTGTCAGTTTATTGATGTGGAAACCAAGAGGTTAGCAGTTAAGCTACTTCCTCAAAGTCCCTCCTGTCATTCAGCACAAGTTGTGATCTGGGAGCACAAGTCTGGGGCGTTGCCCAGAGCCTCATCCTTCACCCACAAACTCCCAGGGAACACACAGTCTGGAGCAGTGCACTTACCAACCTTTTATTCCGAATATTTAAAAATTCCCCCAAAATGTAAGGCAGTCATTTGTATCCAAAAGTTTCTTTTGGACCAAAGTAATCCCTCTCTACCTTGGAAATGTTATGATTTCTCATTTCCAAACTAAAGACATCACTAGCATACCAAATCTCTTATTTACTCAGATTTTGACTAAGAACTAAGAAACTACTTTTATTTTTTGTTAAAGTTAACTTTCCCTACTTTACGTGGTTAACATGACCAAGTTAAAAAGCAAGCTCACTCTGAAAGGTGGGCAAATGACAGGCTGTTTTCTGAATGAGTCATTCATTACAGACACACGTGAAGGACTCGCGGTCAGGACTGGACAGCTTCCAGGTAATGGAGTGAGTTCCTGCTTGGGCACAGAAGCTCAACGGCAAGTGGTGGGTCTTTCTTGACTTCACACCTTCAAAATTACTTTAGGCAAGAAAGCAAGGCCTGAATCACACTTGCTGTGACTCAGCTTTCACCACTGGCTACAAAAATATTCTGACTTCACTCATTGGACCACAAGACAGATGGTGCTTCTCATCCTACTCAAAAGATGCTTGGAGCTAGCTGGACAGAAACCCAGCAGGCTGGACCCCACAGGTGGCCACCGGGGACATGTGTGACCGGCTTCTTAGAGCTTGATGGAAACAGCTGTAGAATTCCAGCTACATAGAAGGAGGTCACTTCTGCTCACATCACCAAAAACCCACATCGCTGTGGATTCTCGGATCACAAAGGAATCTTCCTGAGAGGCAGAGCACCACACATGTGGATCTCCCCCCCTAAGTGCCAAGTCTAAATGAAGCAGGGAGAGATTTGGAAATCATTCACTTCAATCAACTTTGTAGGCAAATTATCATGCCAGAGAACCAGGACACTCTTGAGCCAAACCAAAGACCCAGCCGTTGTCCTTACACACATGGCAGAGGCTGATGATACAAAGCCACTAAGAAAATAAGCCACGTTTCTAAAAATTAATCACTTCAAACATTACCATATGTAGACACACATAAACATAAACAATTGCTCCTGGTGGGAAGTAAGATTTGATATTAGCCAGGCTGCTATCCTCAAGTCAGACAGAACTGTACCTGGAATAATATTTGATGGGAATGGAAGGGAACATGTCATTTCACTGGGGAAAAAAGGGCAATTTCACGGCAGATGTTTTTCTCAAGAAAAAATGACACTAATCAGGTAAAGTAGAGAAGATGAGTTCTGTCTCAAAAAGATGCTCACCTGCAGGATTCAGTTAAATTCAGTTTTTATCTTTACTGGGGTTAGAGGCTAGCACGGCAGACCTCTCTTGTCTTGCCGGCTGCGCCCCGCCAGTGTATTTCAGCAGATCCATCTGCTCTGCTCCCCACTGTCTCTGGTGAATCCTCTCACCCCCTGCACCTATGGCCTACACCCCAGTTCTTCTATGAATAAATAAAAAAAAATAAGTCTTTGGAAAAAAGAGAAATATTTGGAAAACCTTGTTTCATCCCTAAAATTCAATCAGGGCTCAGTTTTTGAGAATCCCCAGGATCATAAAGTCAAAGCTATGCACGAGGTCTTGGACATCCCACATTGATCAGTTCTAGGGAATTGCACTCTTGAAACTGTTTATTGTCTTGCTTGTTGTCTCACCCCAGCAGAGTTTGTTTCTTGTACAAACCTTGCCTGACACTTCAGGGCTGTACCCCTAGAGCTTAAAGCACAGCTGACATATAATAGGAGTATGTTGCTCCAATACATATTATTGAATGAATGAAATCCCGCCAGGAATAAAAGTCCTACCACCAATTTTAGCCTCAAAACAAGAGTCACAACTCAATTTTCCCTAATAATACATGTCCAATCACAGCAAACCTCATCAAATGTTGATCTGTCCTTGGTTGGTAATTCCTAAAACAGTTTCAAGAGGTGGGGCTTCAACACTTAATGCCAAACTTCACTAGCTGGTATTCATCAGGGGTCTAACCAGTACCCATGTTTTCTGTCTGTCTATTGGATCAAGTTTCAGATGCCTACAAGGGTATCCAAGCCTGCCATAATCCAGCCTCTCATTCCCTTCAGGCTCAGTGAATAGTCTGCAAAGATGCCTTCTACGTGATGGATCAAATCGTGTCCCCCCAAAATCTATGACCACCTGGAACCTCAGAATGTGACCTTGCGGGACATAAATCTCTGCCCAGGTAATTAGTCAAAATGAGATCATACTGGATTGGAGCTCAAACTGATGACTGGTGCTTTTCTAGAAGACGAGAGGACATATTACTACAGAGGCTGAGAGAGAGTGATACAGCTGCCCACAAGCACACCAGACAGAGCTGGGGCCAGCATGCCACGGGGAGTCAGGAGACCTGCAGGCTCCAGAATGTGGTCAGAATAGATTTCTATTGGTTAAGCCATTTAGGAAACTGATCTACTCAAGTCTTTCACTGCCTCGTGGAATGGATGAGGCAACCCCCCTCCCCTGGTCCTCCACCATCACCTCCCTCTACCCCAAACAGAAGTTTACCTGCCACTGTGAATCTCCTGCACACCTGTCACTCACTGATTTAAATATATCAATTTATCTGGACAAAATCCTAAGGAAAGTATTCTTGCAAGCAGCAGTTCTGTCTCAGGGCCAGTTCAGAAGTTGTTTTTCTTGCCTTTTACCCCAAGTATTTTAGTTAAGGAAGGCCTCACAGAAATCTCTTACTGCGGGCCCTAGAGACCAAAGATGTTAGTCACCCACAGAGTAAGGGGAGCACAGGAGCAAGAAGAACCACGTGTTGTTACTTTGAGATCAGCCCTGGCTTGATGTCACAAGGTAAACACCCAACCCTGTCTCTCAGCTTGTCAAGACCAGCTTCCCACTGAGACAGCACTTAGAGCTGAGATGGATACCAAAGCCAGGACACAGCTGGAAGACATGGCCGTCCTGACGCACCAGCCTCTGAGGTAGTGGTCCTGGTCTTTGGCCTCCAGCTCCAATCGGCTTCCTCAGATTCAGCTGTATATAGATACTGAACACCCAACAGGGCATGCCAGCCATACTCCTGGGGTGAGACCATGATGGCTAGTGAAAGCCTGGGTTATGGGCCAGCTAAACCTGGATTCAGGCGCCAGTCAGGCCACCCATTGTTCATCCAGCTTGGGTAACTTGGTCGATCTCTCTTAATTTGCCTTTCCCTGTGTGATCAGGGAAAACAGTAAAACTCACTCCGTGGGGTTTGGTGAGAATGCTAGAAAACAGTGGGCTGGACACACTTAGTACAGTACCTGTTCCCTACTAAGTGCTGAGTGATGGCAATCTCTGTTCTTATCACTACATGAGTCATGCTCATTCACAATCATTCACTCCAGAAAAATCCTCAAGAACAGACCCCAATGAGGGCAATTTTAGATACTGAGGTACCTCTTGGTGGCTTAAGGGGTTAAGTCTCAGCACCATGAAGCCATCGGCAGCCATCGGCAGCCACTGTAGCACAAGGTCAATCCCTGGCCAGGGAGCTGACCCACATAGCACAGTCTCACCCGCTGCTCCCTTCAGCAGTGTATTTCAGTGGATCCACTTGTTCTCCTCCCCACTCTGTCTCTGGTGAATCCTCTCACCCCCACAACAATGGCCTACACCCCAGCTCTTGTGTGTATAAATAAAATAAATCATTAATATATATATTCCCTCCCTGGTGGACAGTTGGTTAAAGCACAGCACTAAGAAGCTAAAGCCACTTCAGCCTGAGTTCGATCCCCAACCTGGAGGTGATCCACACAGTGCAGCAGACCTCCCATGACCTGCCCGTTGCTCCCCTCAGCAGTGTATTTTGTCTATCTGCCTGTCCTGCTCCCCACTCTGTCTCTGGTGAAGCCTCTCACCGCCCCTGCACCTCTGGCCTGTACCCCAGTTCTGTATGTACAAATAAATAAATCTTTATATATATAAATGATCTTCATCAATAAACAGGAGAGACTGAAGGTAATCGGTGACAGGCCATATGACAGATGTCCTTGGGTATGGACACAGACTGTCCTTGGATCGGGGGGGGGCTAGGGTTGACTCAGTTTCCCTGACTACCAGTTGGTGATGCTGGTGATGTCAGCTCAGTGCTCATAAATGCCCTGGAGGTGCCACTGTGTTCACCGAGGGGATATGTAGAGGTTCAACCACAGTCACTTTCAGGAAGCCCACTGGAGAATTCCTGTCCGGTTTCTGTATCTAGGATTCCTAAAAATCTCCTAAACAAGATTTTTGAAAAAGTCTAACACTGTCCATTCAGCTGGTGCAGGGAGGCTGGCATCTCATGCACAGGTTACAGGCCACGACTAGCACAGCCTAGGACCCCCTGGCTAGCACCACACACCTGGGCCCACGGGGAGTGTTTCCAGACTTTTTGGTGAACTTTCAACTGGTTTCTCCTTATTTTGTATTGTCCCAATTCCTCATTTGTCTTTAAATCTTACAGTTCTATACAATACTTGCAGGATACCTTTAGTCCTTTGTGAAGTGACCACAAGTAATGTTACCACATTAAAGAAGTCCTTGTCCCTAGTTTCAGGTTTCACACAGGCCCAGCAGAACACCACACCAGACGTAGCCCCACAATGCTGCTGGAAGAGCAGTAACCTTGTGTGAGGGACACACTTTGTCCAGGGTAGAGGTCCCAGAGAGAGCTGGCCACCATGGTGCTCAATCTCTCCTTGCCACCCCGTCTTAGATGTTCAGCCTTAGAAAGAAAAGTCTTTGAACTCCACAGGCATCAAAGCTCAGATCCCACCAGGCAGCAATCTAGAAGGGAGGAAGCACCCTGCATGGTGAGGTCTCATTGTGTCTGTTTGCTTGGTAGCTCCTCACAGCCTCCCCCAGGCTCTGAGGGGCACAGAGCCATGGCAACATGCAGGCTGGGAGGCTGGTGGCCAGGTGACTGAGGCAGAACACCAGGTGGGGGCACCTGGACCCAGAATTTCTGCTTAATTATTCCACACTGCCTCTTCCAGCCTGCAAGTGGGGGTGCCAGGCAGCAACTCTCTCACATCTCACTGAGAGCTCCCTGAGAGAGAATGATGTTAAACATGGAGGCTTCCACAGTTAGCAGCCAATACAGGGGGGATAGAACTAACACACTGCTCTAAGGCAGTGGCTCTGGGGAAATGTTGGAAACTTGGAAAATACTCAGTGATATCCCCTGCAAAATAGCCAGCATTTCAGAAGGTGACTTTCAGCAGAACAGCAGAAGAGCATCATTGCTTATGAGGTGCATGTCCAGGTTCAAGGCAAAGGAATAAAGAGGGAGGTAAGAGAGGAATGGAAGGAACGCAGGAGAGATGGACAGATCAGAACATGGAAACAGCCAGGCAGACTGGCGAGGTAGTCCAGCCATTCTCCTATCCATCCTCAATTAGAATCTTGTCAGAACAAAGCAGCTTTTACATAAACATGTTTTCCCTTTCAATGTGAGGAAAACATTGCTTAACAGTGTTTTCATTAGTTGAAGAAACTCAACTCAAAGAAAAACCAAAGAGTTCTAAAAAGAAGTATCACCGCTGTTTACCACCAGGAACCCACTTCAGGGGCCCCACATGCCTCCTGGGGCACCAGGCCCTGGGTGTGAAGCTCACAGATACACATGGTATCTCTCAGGTGAGTGAGGTTCAGCAGAAGGCTGGAAAGCCACAATATAAAACCAAAACCCATGGGTTTTCTAATACCTATCCGACGACTTTTCTTCTGCAAGATTTTTCTCTCTCCATCCATTTCCATTTTCTGCTTTGGAAATCTTCATTAAGACCTTTCTCCAAGAATTGCTCACAATCTTCTAGACCTTTTATCATGTGGGGTCACTCACCATTCTGTTTCTCCTTTGCTTGTTTCTTAGGCACGTTCTATGCAAGGTTAGGAGAGCAGACTGGAATGTGAGTTCCCTCATGTTGGGCAACCCCTCCCCCTCCCCCACCCCCCCCAGAAATGTACACCTCAGAATCAAGCACCTTTGCCTCCCTCCAGGTGCAGAAACCCTCACAGCTGGAGGGGTCTTTACCCTGCCACCGTGGCTTTCACTTGATTTCTTATTTGGGAATGAGGTAAGGAAGGAGGGTCTGGGGCGAGGAAGCCACCTGCACCTTGGGGGCGTGCCCCTATAATGCAGCCCACACACCCTCTCTTGGCACTCCAAGAACCCTGATGTACAAGTTACCTCGGTGCAGCACAATGTGGTCGATCATGTTGCGTTTATATTTGGTGTGATAGAGGCAGAGAGGACAGCGGAGATCTTTGGGGCCCTCCTCAGGAACTGCTGAATGCCCCGCTTCCACGTGCATCGTAAAAGCAGATCTGCAGAGGTGGGGAGAGAGGCCACGAGTGTGACAAGGGCTCAGTTCAGTCACAACCCCCCCCCCAACAACCCCACAACAGAGCTTCTGAGGTGACACCCCTGGCTTGAGGAACTGAAAAACACAGTGGTTAATTACATCGGCTGACCACGGACCCGGCCACTCGCTCAGTGCTCAACACCACCACATCACGGTGACTTGCTTGTGGAAATTTTGCCACTTGGCTGGGTTCGGGGCTTAAGTTGGAAAGAACAGGATTCTGCAACCACTTTATTCTTGAAAATTGGAAATTGCCTTTCCAAGTATGAAAACACAATCTCCAGAGACTGCTCATCATGCTTGGCAGGAAAAAGACTAGTTTAAAGGTAGGCTGACTCACCAACGGCCCACCTGATCACAAGTAAGGGAGGACGAGCAGGTTGGCTGGAAGTCAAGATGGCTGATGACCAGATAATGAAACCCAGAACAGTTCTTCTGGCTTAAAGGCAGAATGGCACTGTCGCTCCCTCGCCATCCTTTGCAATACTTCAAAATTACACAAGTCCCAGAGAAATGGGTGAAACCAAGAGCTTATTGGGCAAAGACCCCTTCTTATTAACCAGCTGCCTCTCTCTGGAGAGCCGTGTGCATCTGTCAGTGGGTCCTGAGTAACCCAGTCCTTTGGCCTGCCTCAGCTCTGAAGTCACATGCATATTTATCTGGAAAACAACTCAACCAAAAGAAAAGCCAGAGATATAACACGTTTTCTGTCAACTGCCAGCAACTACAATGCTGGTAGAAAAAAGGCTTATTTTCCTTTTCCAGTTTATGTTTTCCTTGGGACATGATGCCTGCTTTTGCAGTTTTCCTGAGGGGAGTTTAAGTCCTGGGGCCTCCCAAAGCTGAGGTTTTGAGTGCAAGAGCAGCAGATGACAATTCCATATTAAAAAATATAGCATCTACTTAGCACTGTAGGAGCACAGAGTCTGTGATATTAACACTTAGCATTTCCTCTGTGCCTGGCATTATTTTAAGGTTTTTCAGATACATCGGGTTCATTTACTACAAATAAAAGCCTCCCCCCCCCCCAGGTAAGTACTGTTATTATCTTTATTCCACAACTAAGGAACCAGAGACAGAGGCCCAGTAACTTGTCCAAAATCACAGTCAGTTAGCTGCAAAGTTGGGACTCAAAAGCAGGCCGTCAGATTCCACATTCTACACTCATAACCACGAGCTAGATGGTATTTCACAGGATGAGGTTAAATCACAGGTGCTTGGCTTTACCACCAGAAATACTCTATTCTTAAACTGAGCCCACCAATTCTGGGCTCAGAACTTAGATTATCTTGTTCTAGACTAGAACAATCTATGATTGATTATGTCTAGTCCTTAAGCACTGGAGTCTTGCTCTCCTGGTATCTTTTAGTAACCTGATCTGGAGAAATAAGAATTCTTGACAACTGGCAACAGGGAAGTCACTGTTGCTGGTTATTCTTTCTTGATTTCCCTTCGTTTCAACAACTTTTTTTTTTTTTTTTAAAGACAAATTTAAAAAGGTGGGGTGGCAGTGGGGGAAGTTTTTCTTTAAAGGGAAAACACGCATTGCTTTATGACCTGGGCCAGGGAAAATTTGCAGGGATCTCTCATTGCGGGGGTACCCATTTGCTCTGATTTTAAAACTCATTTGCTCTGATACAACTCTTCTCATCCATAAGTCCCAAAGTAGTTTCTGGAACGTGCCCCCTTTAGGAAGACTGGACCCAATAGCTCTTGTATCATCCTGTGGGCAGGACCTGCCTACCCTGCCTGCCAGGTACGGGTAGAAGGAAGGAGTGTATGGCGAGGGGTGGAGCAGGTGCAACTGTGTAACTCTCTTGTTTTTCGAGGCTGTTCACTGTGCCACTTACTTAAAGCCTGTGTAGAAGGAGCAATCTTTGCACTTGAAGAGCTTCTTCCCGCCATGCTTGTCCCTGTAATGGCGCCGGATGCTCTGGATGTAGCCAGAGGAGAATTCACAGAATTCGCAGTGAAGAACAGCTTCGGTTTTCTGCTCTGCACCCCCAGCGGCCCCCGCCAGAGGCACCGGGCTAACACGGCTGTTGTTCCTTGCCAGGGCAGCAGATTGGTAGTGGTTCAGCTGCTGCTGAACATCTGGAGGCTCTGAGTAGGATGAGTCTGTGGACAGACGGGGGACAAGAACACGGGCCACAGAACTCACGGTGGAGGTTGGGTGCTTGAAAACCCCTGACATTAGTTGTGAGCATTTTTTAAAGGGATGACCATGATCCCATCTTTCAACTTCGATTACCTTCCACAACACAGATCTAGGGGGAGGCAGCTGGGAGGAAGTGTCACCTCCTTTAATCTGACTTTGAGGGCTCATAGCATTTAAAAATAAAATTCTGAGGCTAAAGGTTTCAAAGTGAAGGAAGAAGGTAAACTGTTTTTGAAAGGAAATTGCAGTGTGGCAAAAGGCTGCCACAGAAGACCCATCCTTGTCGGTGAGATAAATAAACCTACACAAAGTGCCTGGGAGTCTGCATGAGGAAGGAAAGTAGATGATGCAACATCTCTCCTCCTTTGCAGCCCAGAATTATTCAAGCCAACCAAACCTTTTTTTTTTTTAAAGGTCTTTAACAGAAACGCTCAAGCACATAGCACTCACAAATATAAAAATGTTTTATACCTTCAAGTGATTTAAATTTTAACATCCAAAAATCCAAAAGTGTTCTCCTGGAATGGATGTTTAAAGCTTAGTCAGCATTAAGATGGAGATTTATTCATAAATCCCATTAAAATGAAATTCCAAACAAGTTTTTCTGAAAGGTATTTTAAAGGTGGCAATTCGGAGGAAAACGTTGGAAATGACAGGCACAAATCTTCAACCTGAGAAGTCTCAATGGCATGTGGGGGGGAAATCTGATCTTTATAGAGGAGGGGAAATTTCAGTTTCCTCTTTAAAGAAAACAAACAAGCACAAAAGTTAAGAGTGAGAGAAAGCGGAAGAAACGTCTGGAACCTTTCGTCCAAGCCCTGCTTTGAGCGTTGAGGTTAGGTTAGCCATCCCGCATCTCTGTCCCATATAACCTACAGCTGCCTGTGAATGATACAAATGAAGTCCATGAACACCACACCGATGAATTTCAGTGTAACTTTCCTTCAAAAGAAAACAAAGGGCTCTTTTCTTAAGCCTTTCCAAAAGCAAGGGGGAGAGGGGATAGAAACTGTACCAGCCTCCTCCTGATTTGATGGACACTTAATTTTCCAAAGCACGATTCCCTGAGGCAGGACATGGAGGAATTCTGTAAAACCCATATTTGATGAAACTAGCACCATCCATCCTGTCGGCTTCTTTGAAAAGAAAAACAGAACCAGAGCACTCTCCCGCATTAAGGAGCCACCTCTTGTCTTAAAAATACTAAGATGACTTCTCTTCTTGTTCGCCTCTCCCCTCTCCTCAATTCGTATTCTTCAAGATCGAGGAAAACCCCTTTGGAAATTGTAAACAAACCTGCCACAGAGCAAAATAAAACAAAAGGAAACTGGAACATCTCCGAGCCTCTATGGGTTCATTACCAGGTGTAAGCTGAAGACAAAGGGAGCAAGGAATGACACAACTGAATTCATTTTACCCGATTCTTTTATCTCCTTTTTCTTTATTCCTCGGCCGAGACTGATGAACCCACTCAGGATCACAATAATGCAATTGTCAACTTCTCATTCTGTCTTTCAATAGCAGGTTTGTTTACCACTTCATGGATTGTTCGAGATGTTTTCTATTTAAGCCCTCAAGACTAGTTTCTGCTTCAAATACATACTCTACCTCTCTCGTTAACACAGGCTTGAGCTGCAAGTCACGCATCACCACGCCAGGATCTCCCCCCACAAGACCCGCCCCCTCTTGCTACTGTTGGTCCTGATTTACTCAACTCTGCAGAAGAGCAATTCTGTGACTGACAAGACCTCAGTCAGGTTCTACTGCCTGGAAGCTGTTCACTATCAACAAACCTAAGAGACCAAAACAGCTGTGCCAAGGAACTGCCCCTTTCTTAATAAGCAGCTTCTTCCAAAGTAACCACCTCTGAGAGTCCCACAGGCCAGCATGGGTGTGTGTGGTGGCCACTGGCATCTCCATCCCGTTAGAGCAGGATTCTAAAGAAATCAGAGGCCCCTGGTCACAGACAAACTATCCGTGACCTACCTCCCACCCACCTAACACATGGAGTCATGCTCAGATAGGCTCCTGGATTTTTCTTAGATAGAGTCTACTGCTTATTAGCCTATCCATTTCAAAAACGAATTCTAAATTTTAACTCCACTATTTATATGTCATAGGAAACTTGAAGAAATAAAACCACAAGAAGTGGTGAGGAAAGCTTTCCAAGTAAGAGAAGCTTACTGCCCTTCTCAAATGGCAGGGTAGGTGGCTGGGGGGATGTCTCCCTGGATTTATTTACAAAAACAAGCAAATCCCACCACCCGAGAGAGATTTGTACTAATGCCCAGTTACAACTTTTTGGGTCTTCCTAGAACTTTTATTTTCCTTTTTGGTGTCAAGATAGAGTTTGTCTTAGAGTTTGTGAATAATGTACAATTTTAGCACTTTGGGCACTAAAGTGACAAAGATGTGAGTTTGTATGATTCCACCAATCTTAAAAAAGCCCACTTGCTAAGCTCCCAGTTTGTTCAGGAAGGCAGCTTGAAGAGCAGGAAGAGGGTCATTTTGTGTGCAGGTTAAAAAGGCAAACAGATCGTTAGCAGCAGAGTGCATGCCACGGAAGTTAAAAATCATCATTAAGACTATTGGCTTTCAGCCTTCCCCGGTGGCGCAAGGGGTTGGGACTCAGCACTGCAAGCTAGCCACAACCACTTCAGTGTGAGTTCGATCCCTGGCCACGGAGGAGATCCACATGGCGCGGCAGACCTCCCCTGACCCGCATCTGCTGCTCCCCTCAGCAGTGTACTTCATCAATCTGCCTGTTCTGCTCCCCACTCTGTCTCTGGTGAAGCCTCTCACCACCCCTGTACCTCTGGCCTGTACCACAGTTCTTTATGCACAAATAACTAAATAGTAATCATTCTTCTATAGAGATAAGTTCTAATTTGGCAAATAATACACAAACATTAAAAAAAAAAAAAGCCATTGGCTTTCATGGGCAAGCTTAAGGAAAGGAAAGCAAACATGCTCTGTGTTTGGGGAGCCCCAACTTGAGGTCTCAGGTAAACACAGGGGCTGAAATGCAGGAGTGTGAATTCTGAAGAAACCATGCACCCAAACTTGAGTCACCTTTCAGAACACAGTCATCTGTATAACTAGCAATATCGGTACATACATTCTCAACTCACCCAGTGTGTAGCCTGAGAGTTTAATTCTCTGACTGGTGTACAAAGTTTGTGTACAACTTTATGTACAAAGTTGGAGAAATTAAACTATAATCTGTAATTGTAGTTATAAAATCAATTTAATGAAGTTACAGGTAGTCATCCCATTTCATAAATAGTTGATAAGAAAATAATTATATTTTTTAAAATTGGGATCAAAGTAGAATGTTAGCACATATGGCTACATGCCTGTAGGCAGGAGTTTAGAACTTAATATAAGCAACAAGCTCTTCGCTCTTACACTAATGTGTGTGGTGCAGGTTCTCATCCCAATTTTACTGTTGAGGAAGCTGAGGCTGAGAAATGCTACTAAGAGACAGCAGGATTTAAACTAACATCTGTGTGACTCTAAAGTCTGAGTCTTGTCTATTAGCATCTACACTCAGTGTGACCTCTGGATCCCAGGGTACATGTCCAAACAATGTGAGATCAGTCTGCAAGACACATGCGTCAGGGATGAGAGAGAATGTAAGAGATAGGTTGAAAGAATGGAGAATATAACATTAGCAGAGAGAAAAATCAGAACATAGACAGGAAAATAACATTAAACTGATATGAAAGAATATGCTAACAAAGGGCCCTCCCTGGTGGTGCTATCCATAGGCACTGCAGTACGAGTTCGATCCCTGGTCAGGGAGTGACCCACATGGCACGCAGACCTCTCCTGTCTCGCCCTCTGCTCCCCTCAGCAGTGTATTTCAGTGGACCTGACTGTTCTGCTCCTCACTCTGTCTCTGGTGAATCCTCTCACCCACCCCCTCCACATCCCTGGCCTGTACCCCAGTTCTTGTATGCATAAATAAATAAATCTTAAAAAAAATTTAAAATGCTAAAATAAAAATAAATAAATATTTCAGAGCACATGGAGGGAAAAGAGTAAACAATAAGGTTTAAGGGGAGGAAGAAATAGCTAAAATTTCAAAATGCTTTATAAGAGCAAAAAAAAAAAAATGAACAAACAAAAAAACAAGGACACAGAGATATTTTCACAGGTAAATACAGGTATTTACCCAAGTAAATACTGTAGATACCCTGTAATATAATTTTCCTGCCCTGCATTATGTTAGATGCCTGAGGAATTGCTCTCAAATTCCTCAGGTGGGATTCAGCTGGGAAAAGAGGGGCACCAAACTTAATTGGGAAAAGGTGCACCACGCACCTGCAGGGTCTTGCACAGCTCTGCATCACGGTGCCCCACCCCTTTGTCATGTTCCCAAGAAATGGCAAACTTCTCACTCTGCTTCCGGTTCCCCACTGACACCCAGTACCACTTTCAATGATTTGCCCCCGCTTTTGTCTCCAGAGATGAGCCAGCACAGAAAAAATCACAAGCAATTTAATTTTCTAAAGTGAACCCTGAGAGAACGATAAGCATGACAGCACAGGTTTTCTTGCATATTCGGACTCTACAAACATGTTAGTCCACACCCTCTTAGTGCCAGGTCAGGTGCTGGCAGTAGGGTTCAAAGTCAAAGTCAAGGACGGCAGGTGGAGTGACGCCAGGAGCTCAGATCCACTAGGGAGAGGACAGAGCAGCTGACTTATGAAAATACAGGCCTTCTTCATGGCTAGCAAACGTGCTCCACTGATTGAAGGAATAAAAGTGGCAAAGAGAACAAATGAACAGTAACGGGAGAGTTTAACTATCGCAAGATTAAGGAAGACACAAGGAAGAGTAAGAATCAATTGGGCAGTAAATTGTGGGAGCCGAGGCCAGCCCCCTGCGTGCTGAGCTATCCATGAAGGAAGCATGAAGGAGGATCAATTCTCAATTTTCTGCAGCTCCACAAAAG